TCTAAATTCTATTTTTGAAAAGCCATCCAAGTGTCCGGCCTTTATTAATGATTCAAGAAGTCTAAGTATCCACAAATAAGTACTCAAAATTAGTGAGGTGCTAGCTCCACCTTTTCCGATTCGGTATTTTCTCCGAAATCAATCCCGAGCAATTTTATAATAATCTTAAAGGAGAAGGAAAGAGTATATCTTGCTAGGGTTTAGGGGAAAGCAATTTTCTACTTATTTTTCTCTCTTGGCCATGTGCCTTATTTAATTTTAGGGCTAGTCGAAACTTTGCTCCCCTTCTTTTCCTCTTTTTCTTTGGCCAAATACTCCTTCTTTTTTAGGTTGATTAACCTCTCCATGCTGCACCTCTCTTCTTATATATAGGGGGATAGTTTCCTTATCCTCCAAGGATAAGGACAGGGCGGCCACAAGTCCTTTTAGGACTTTGGGTTGTTACTTCCTTATCCCTCAAGGATGAGGAGTTATTTTATATGTGGACTATTTGATTATTATCTTTAAAACATTCAACCTTATTCAATAAAGTTGATGTTTATCTTTAAAACATTTAACCTTATCTAATAAGGTTGATGTTTATCCTCCCACCAAAATATCTTAAGGCTTTTAATTAAATCTAATGGGCCAAAACTATTTTAGCCCACTTAATTTATTTGGACTATCCAAATAAATATTCTTAGATTATTTTGGCGAGTCCACATTAGGAAGTAATTTTCTAAAATACCCCTTAACCTAAATTAGGAAACTCCTTTCCTTTAAAGTTCTTTATTTTCAAATTAGGAAATCGATTTCTAAAATAGAAAACTCTTCATTTTAGAAAAATTTTCATTTTTGGAAACCCTTCCTAAAATAGGAAACTTTTGTAATTGGAAACATTTTTCAATATCTTTACTTCTTATTTATGATATGAATACTTAAACTTATGTATGTGACTCAATAGGCTCCTAGATATGTTGGCAATGTATCAAGAATAAAAGACTCATTTTTTATCTCTTGATACATAAATCAAGATTGGCCTCTACTAAGGCTTCATGACTACCCAATTCTCAAGGAGGATTAGTTAATCCATTATTACCTTTCACGAGCATGGTTACCATACAATTCCATCATCATGTCAACTTATCACGGTATGATCTTATTAAACTTGGTTATTAGTCTTGTTTCATTATGATCACACAAGTTTTCTTTGATTCCCAAATGTCTTAGCTCTTAAAGTAAACCAACTATGCTCTATTGGTGTACTCCTATTGTGGCCATAGATTTCTTGAGCGGACATTTATTGAAATGCAAAGTGATAACTCCTTGAGCATATAAGGAATGACATGTCCTATCTTAGTCATACACTTATATCTATTGGATTCCTAGTTCACCTAACGAATCGCCCATATGCAACCCATTAATGGGTCCATCGAAACGAGTGTCAAAGTGCATAAGTCCTCCAATGAGATAACCATGATGACATCAAGTGTAAGGACCATTTGTACCCATCTCATATGAGTTTTCCATAGACTAAAATCAAATGGATTGTCATGGCAAGTCAAGTCTAGTGATTTGTTCTCTAACATAAATCACCTAAGTGCTTGCTTTGGCATCACCATGCCAATAAGTGTGAGATCTCCTACTCGCTAACATATAGCATAAGCAAAGAACTCACAAGTCTATTCACGTATTGTCAATGTCCATTTTTAACAATGCTATGACTTGGGACATTTAATGATATCATTTATGTGCATTAGTGTTTGTTGAGCATGTTTCGATCAATCACTATTGTAAATGCTTATCATAAGGACTTCTATATAATTTTACTGAATTTATCAACATGTAACATAAGAATTAATAGAATGATTTCTTTATTATTATTAAAATAAATGATTTAATAATATATTAACATGAGCCCATCCAAACATGGTTGGATCTTGGTACCAACACTAACACTCTCTCTATTTCTCCCTCTCTCCTTGTCCATCTCCCTCTCTCACTCTCTCTCCCTCTTCCTCTCTCTATCTCTTCTTACCCTCTTTTTTCCCTCTTTCTCCCCCTATTTCTCCCCTCTCTCTCCCTCCTCTCTATATCTCTCTCTCCCTCTCTCTCTCCCTTTCTCTCCCTTTCCTTCTCCCTCCCTCCCTCTTTATCTCTCTCTCGCCCCTCCTTATATATCCTTCCCTCCCTCCCCATCTCTCTCTCTCTCCCCCTCTTTCTCCTCCTCTCTCTCCCTCTCTCCTACCCTCACTTTCCTTCTCATTGTCTCTCCATCTGTCTCTCTCTCCCTCTCTCTCCTTCTCTTCCTTCCTAAGTTTCCTTATTCCACTCTCATCCACTCTCTATGTCCCTCTCTTCCTCTCACTCTCACTCCCTATCCCTCTCTCACCCTCTTCTTCTTCTTTTTTCTATCTCCTTCTCTCGCCTTCCCTTTCTCCCTTCATCTCTCTCTCCCCCTCTCACTTTCTCTCTCACACTTCTTCTCTCTCACTCTCTCTCCCTCTGTTTATCTCTCTCTCTTGCTTTCTTCCACTCCCTCTCTCTTTCTCTCTCCCTCTATATCCTAATCTCTCCCTCATTCTCTCTCCTTCTCTCTCCCTCCTTCTCTCTCTCTTTTATTTCTCTTCCTTATTCTATCACTCTACTTCTCTCTCCCTCTCCCCCTCTCTTCCTCTCTCCCACTTTTCTTATCTCTCTCTCTTTCACCTTTCTCTCTCCCTTTCTCTCTTTCTCTCTACCTTCTCCTTTTCTTTCTTTCTCCCTCTTCCACTATCTCTCCCCCTTTCTCTCTACCTCTCTCCCTCTCTCTTTCTTTCTTTCTCTCTCCCTTTCTATCTCCCACTCTCACTCTCTCTTTCTTTCTTTCTCTCTCCCTTTCTCTCTCCCACTCTTCCTCTCATTTTCCCTCTCTCTCCCCCTTCTTCCACTCTCTTTCTCTCCCTTTCTCCCCCTTCCCTCCCTCTGTCCCTCTCCCTTTCTCCCTCTCTTTCTCTCTCTATCTCACTCTTCACTCTCACTCTCCTTTTCTCTCCTCTCACTCCCTTGCTCTCCCCCACACTCTCTCCCTATCTCACTCCCACTCTACTTCTCCCTCTCTATCTCTCTCTCCGTCTCTCTCTTTCTCACTTTCTCTCTCTCCCTCTCCCTCTCTTCCTCTCACTCCCCCTCTCTCCCCCCACATTCTCTCCCCATCTCACTCCCTCTCTCCTTCCCCTTTCTATCTCTCTCTTCGTTTCCCTCTCATTTCCTCTCTCTCTCCCTCCCTCTGTCTATCCCTCTCTTCCACTCTCTTCCTTTCTCTCCCCCTCCCTCGTTCTCTCCCTCTCCCTCTCCCTCCCTCCTTTCCTCCCCGTCTCTATACCACACTCTCTCCATCTACCTCTCCCTCCCTCTATCTACATCTCTCTCTCCTTATCCATGCCTCTCTCTTCCTCTCTCGCTCTCTTTTCTCTCACGCTTCCTCTATTTTTTTCCATCTCTCTCTCTTCCTCTTTTCTCTCTATCTCTCTCTCTCTCAATCTTTATCTCTCCCTTTTTCTCGCTCCTCCTATCTCTCCTAATCTCTCCCTCTACCTCCCTCTTTCCCTCTATATCTACATCTCTCCCTCTCTCTCTTAGTCCCTTCCCCCTTCTCTTTACCACTCTACCTATCTCTCTCTCCCTCTCACTCCCTCTCTCCCTTCCACTATCTATCCCTCTTTCTCTCCATCTTATTCTCTCCCTTCTCTCTCTCCTTCTCATTCTTGCTCTCTCCCTCCCTCTCCCTCCCTTACCTCTTTCTCTCTCTACCTCTCTCCTTTTCTCTTTGACTCCCTCTCTCTCTCTCTGTCACTCCCACTCCCTTTCTCTCGTAGTCTCTCTTGCTCCCTCTCTCTATCTCCCTCTCTTGCTTCCTCTCCCCTTATCTCTCTCCCCTACTCTTTCTCTTTATCTTTCCTTCTCTCCCACTCTCTCTTGATTTCTCCCTCGCTCTCCCCTAAGCTCTCATTATCTTTATTCTATCTCTTTATCCCTCTCTTTCCTTTTTTTTCCCTCTCTCGCTCTTCTTATCTCTACCTCTCTCACCCTCCTCTCTCTCTATCCCTCTCTCTCCCTCTCTCTCAATCTCTCGTTCCAATATATATATATATATATGTATCACTCTCTTTCTCATTTTTCCTCTCTCCTCTTCTCTCTCCCTTATTCTCTCCTCTCACTCGACTCTATTTCTCTCTCCCCTCTCCCTCATTATCTCTCTCTTCCTCTCCCTCTCTCCCTTCCTCTCCCTTTCTCTATCTCTCTATCCCACCCTCTCCCTCTCTCTCTCTCTCCTCTATTTGCCTCTCCCCTCTCTCCCTCTTCCTCTCTCTTTATTCCTCTCTCCTTCTTACTATATCTCTCCCCCCACTCTCTCCCTTTTTCTCTCCCCCAACCTCTCTCAACCTCTCCCTTTCATCCTCTCTCTCTCTTTCTCACTCCCTTCCCCTCCCTCTCCCTCACATCCCTCTCTCTATCTCCCTTTCCCTCTCCTTCACTATCTCTACCTCACTTTTTCCTTCTCTCTATCTCTCTACCCTTCCCTCCCTAGCTCCCTTTCTATCTCTCTCCTTGTCACGCTCTCCCTCTCCGCCTCTCTCCTATCTCTCTCTTCCCCTCTCTCTCTCCCCTCTCTCTCCCTTCCCATCTCTCTCCCTCCTCTTCTTTCTCCCTCTTCCTCTCTCTTTCTCTCTCCCTCTCTCCTTCTCTCCCTTCTTCTTTTCCTTTTGCCATTCTCTCTCCCTCTCTCTCCCTCTCTCCCTCTCTATCTCTCTCCTAGTCCGTCCCTTTCACTCTCTCTCCCTTTCTCTCTCCTAATCTCTCCCTCTCCCCTCTTTTCCTCTCTCTCCCTTTCTCTCTCCTAATCTCTCCCTCTCCCTCTTTTCCTCTCTCTCCCATTCCTAATCCATTTCTGTCTCCCTATCCCTCTTCCTCTCTCCCTCTCTCTCACTTTCCATTTTCCTCTCCCTTTCCATTTCCCTCTCCTTCCTCCCATCTTTATCCTAGTCTCCCTCTTCCTCGCTCTCCCCTTTCACTCTCTCCCTCTCTCTCTTTCCCTCTCTCTCATACACACACTCTCTTTATATATATATATATATATATATGTCTCTCCCTCTCTCCCCCTCTCATCCTCTCTCCCTCTCTAACTTTATCTCTATCTCTCTCCCTCTCTTTTCCTATCTCTATCTTACCCAATTTCTATCTCTTGCTCTCACCCTTATTATTTCTCTCCTCCTTCTCTCTCCCTTTCACTCCCAATCTCTTTCTCACACTCTCTCTCCCTTTCTCCCTTTCTCCCTCTCCCTCTCCCTCTTTCCTCCCTCTCGTCTCCCTCACTCCCCTTCTCTCCCTCCTTTTCGTTTTATATCTCTTTCTCTTTACCTCGCTCCCTCTCTATCTTTCCCTCCCTCTACTTCTCTCTTCATCTCTCTTCTTTCATCCCTCTCTCCCTCTCTCTATTCTCTCACTCTCTCCTTCTTGCTCTCTTACTCCTTCCCTCTCTATCTCTCTACCTCTATTTCTTCTCTCTCTCATTCTCTATATTCCTCCCTCTCCTCTCTTTCTTTTTCTTGCTCTCTCCCTCTCTCTCACTCCCTCCTTATTCTCACTCCCACTCTCCCCTATTCCCTCTTTTTCCTCCTCTCCCTCTTTCTCTCTCTTTCTCTCCTTTTGTTCCTCTATCTCACTCTCCCTCTCTCTCCTTATATCCCTCTCCTTCTCTCTTTTCCTTTATCCCTCTCCCTTCCTCTTTCTCTCCCTCTCAATCTCTCTCCCTCTCTCCCTTTTCCTCTCTATCTCTCCCTCTCTCTCCCTCTCCCTCTCCCTCTCTATCTCTCTCCCTTTTTGCCTCTCCCCCTCTCTCTCTTTCCTTCTTTCCCTATCCTCCCTCTCCTTCCCTCCCTCTCTCCCTCTACCTATATCTCTCTTGTTGTCCCTCTCTATCTCTCCCCTTCTCTATCTCTACCTCTCTCTTACTCTATCTCTCTCCCTCTCTCTTACTTTCTTTATCCTATCTAATTGTCATCTCTTCACCTTGAATCACTATTTTTTTCTCACTCTCCCTCGCTCTTTTTCTCTCCCTCTCTCTCGCTCTTTCTATCTCCCACTCTCTCTCACTCTCCCTCCCTCTTTCGCCCCTTCTCTCTCCCTCTCTCTCCTAATCTCTTCCACTCTCTCTCCTTCCCTCTCTCTCCCTCTCTCCTCCTCTCTCCCTCTCCCCTCCCTTACTCTCCCTCTTACTCCTTTTCTAACTCTCTCCCCCTCTCTCGTTATCTTTGTGTCTTTCTCACCACCTCCCTCATTCTCTTTATCTTTCCCTCCCTCTACCTATCTCTTCCTCTCTCCCTCCATCCCCTCTCTCCCACTCTCTCCCTCTCCCACTCTCTTCCTTCCTCTCCCTCTCTCTCCCTCTCACTCTCATACTCCCTCCCTTTCTATCTCTCTCCCTCAATCTCTCTCCCCTCTCTCTTTCCCACTCTATCTCTTTTTCTCTCCTCTTCTTCTCTTTCTTACTCTCTCCCTCTCTATTCCTCCCTCCATCTTCTCCCTCTCTCTCTCCCATACTCTTTCCCTCTACCTCGCTCTTTATTTCTCTCTTTTTCTCTCCCTCTATTCCTTTATCTCTCTCTTTATATCTCTCGCTCCCCTTCTATCCCTCACTTTCCCTCATCCTCTCTCTTCTTCCCTCTCTCTCCCTCTCTCTACCCCTTTCGGTCTCTCTCCATCTACCTCTCTATCCCTCTATACCGCTCCCTTTCTCTCTTTCCCTCCCTCCCTTATTGTCTCTTTGTCTCCTTCACTCTCTCTCCCTATCTCTCCCTCTCTACTTTTTTCTCTCCAAATTTTCCCTCTCTCCCTCTCTCTCACTCTCTCTCTCCCTCTCCCTTTCTATCCATCTCTGCCTCTCATTCTCTCTCTCTCTCCCACTCTCCCCATGTCTCTCTTGCCCCTCACTCTTTACCTCTCTCACCCTCTTCCTCTTTCTCCCTCTCTCTTTCTCTCTTCCTCTCTCATTTCATCTCTCTCGTCCCTCTCTCTCCCTCAATCTCTCTCCCTCTCTCTCCTTCTTTTCTCTTTTTTCTCTCTACTCCTCTCTCTTTCTCTCTATCCCTTTCTTTCCATCTCTTCCTATCTCACCCTCCTTTCCTCCCTCTCCTCCCCTCTCCTTCTTTTCTCTTTTTCTCTCTACTCCTCTCTCTTTCTCTCTGTCCCTTTCTTTCCATCTCTCCCTATCTCACCCTTCTTTCCTCCCTCTCCTCCTCTCTCCCTCTCTCTATTTCCCTCTCCCTCTCTCTCTCACTATGCCTCTCTTTTTTCTCTCTCTACCCTATCTCTCTCTAACTCTCTCTTCCTCTCCCTCTCCTTCACCCTTTCTCTCTCCCTCTCTCCTTTTTCTCCCTCTCTACCTCTCTCGCTCTCCCTCTCTCTCTCTCTCTATCCCCTCCATTTCTACCTCCCTCCCTCTCAATCTCTCCCTCTCCCTCTCTCTCCTTCGCTCTATCTCTCTCCCTATCCCCCTCCCCCTCTCTCTCCTCCCCTCTATCTCTCTACCTCTCTCCCTCCCCCTCTCTCTCCTTCCCTCTATCTCTCTCCCTCTCTCCTTGCCCCTTCTCCCTCTTTCTCTTCCTCTCCCTATCATACTCTCTCTCTCCCTCTCTTGGTTCTCTCATTCTCTCCCTCCCTCTCTTTCCTTCTCCTAATCTCTCCCACTCCCTCTCCCTTGCTATCCTAATCTTTCTCTGTCTCTCTCCTTATTTGTCTCCTTCTCCTTTTCTCTCTCTCTCTCCATGTCTCTCTCCCACTCTCTTTCCCCTTCTCTCTCATTCTCTCCCTCTCTCTCCCTAATCTCTCCCTTTCGCTCTTTGCCATTATCCCTCTTTACGTCTCTCCCTCTCTCTCCTCCTTTCTTTCTCTCTATTCTCACTATTTCTCTCTCTTTCGATATACATCTCCCCTCTCTCCCTCTCTCTCATTTTTCCTCTCTCTTACTTTTACTCCCTCCCTTTCTCTATTATCCTCTCTCTCTCTTCTCTCTCCATCCTTTTTGAGTTTATCTCAATCTCTCCCTCTCTTATCCAATTTCAATCTGTCTCTCACCTCACTATTTCTCTCCCTCTCTAGCTCTCTCTCTCTCTCTTGCTCTTTCCCTTTTTTCTCACCCTCTTTGTTTCTCTCCCTCTCCCTCTGCCTCTCTCTCTTGATTTTTCCTCACTCTCCCTCCCCACCTCACTCTCCCCCTTCCTCTCTCTCTCTCTCTCTCTCCATCTCCTCATCTTTCTCTATCTCCCTTCCTCACTCTTTCTCCCCCTCATTCCCTCTCTAATTCTCTCTCTCTCACTCCTACTCTCTTTCTCTCTATCTTTTTCTCTATTTCTCTCTCCCTATCTTAGTTTTTCCCTCTCTCCCTCCATCTTCCTCTCCCTCTCTTTTCCTCTCCCACTCTCTACCTCTCTCTCCTTCTCTCTCACTCTCTCCCTCCCTCTCTCTCCCCATTCTCTCCTTCTTTCCCTCCCTCCCTTCTTTCTCTCTCCTCTCCTTCTCTTTCTTACTCTCTCCCTCTCTCCCTTCCTCTTTCCCTCCCTTTCCCACACTCTCTCTATCTTAACCTCCCTTTCTTTTTCTCCCTCTTTCTCTTCCATTTTACCTCTCTCTCTCCCCTTCATCCCTTAATTTCCCACTCCCTCTCTCTTCCTCTCTTCCTCAATTTCCCTCTCTCTTGCCCCTCTCTCTGCCTCCTCTCTCTCCCTCACTATCTTTCTCTCCCTCTCTCTTTTCCAATCATTTTCCCTTTCTCTCTCCCTTTCTCTATCTCTCCCTCTCCTACCCATCTTCCTCTCTCCCCCTTTCTTTCTCTCTCTTTCTAACAATATATATATATATATATTGTTAGTGTAGATGCCTTAGATCCAACCATGTATGGATGAGCTTGAATTAATGTATCATTTCATTATTTATTTTAATAATAATAAAGAAGCCATTCTATTAATTCGTTCGCTTACATGTTCAATAGAATTAGATAGAAGTCCTTATGATATGCATTTGCAATAGTGATTGATCGAAAGATGTGAGACAAATACTAATGCACATAAATGATATCATTAAATATCCCAAGTCATAGCATTGTCAACAACGAACATTGACAAATGCGTAAAGACTTGTGAGTGCTATAATGATGCTATATGATAGCAGTAGAAGATCTCACACCTATTGGTATAGTGATGCCACAGCAAGTGCTTAGGTGATTTATGTTAGAGAACATGTCACTGGACTTGACTCGCCATGAGAACCCATTTGGTTTAAGTTTATGGGAATCTCATATGAGATGGGTACAAATGGTCCTTAGACTTGAGGTCATCATAGTTATCTCATTGGAGGATTTATTTACTTTAACACTCGTTTTGATGGACCCATTAATGGGTTACACGTGGGTGATTCATTGGGTGCACTAGGAATCTAATGTAGATAGGTGTATGAATAAGATAGGACATGTCATTCCTTATATGCTAAAGGAGTTATCACATTGCACTTCGATAAATATCTACTCAACAAATCTATGGCCATAATAAGAGTACACCAATAGAGCATAGTTGGTCTACTCTAAGAGCTAAGACATTTGGGAATCGAAGAAAACTTATGTGATCATAATCCAATAAAACTAATAACCAAGTTCAAGATCACACTCGTAATAAGTGGACATGAGGATTGAAATGTATGGTAACCATGCTCGTGAAAGGTAAAAATGGATTAACTAATCCTCCTATAGAATTGGGTAGTCATAATGCCTTATTGGAGGCCAATCTTGATTAATGTATCAAGAGATAAAACATGAGTCTTATATTGTTGATAAATTGCCAACATATCTAGGAGCCTATTGAGTCACACGTATAACTTTAAGTATTTACATTACAAATGAGAAGCAAAGATATTGAAAGAAGTTTCCAATTAGAAAACATTTCCAATTATAAAAACTTTTTTATTTTGGAAAGAGTTCCCAAAATGGAAAGTTTTCTAAAATGAAAAGTTTCCTATTTTAGAAATCGGTTTTCTAATTTGGAAGTTAGTCTCAAATATGGAAATAAAGAACCTAAAAGGAGAGTTTCCTAATTTAGGTTAAAGGGTATTTTGGAAAATTATTTTCTAATATGGGCCTCGCTAAAATAATTTAAGAATATTTATTAGGATAGTTTAAATAAATTAATTGAGCTATAATAATTTTGCCCCATTAGATTTAGTTAAAATGCTTAAAGATAATTTTAGTGGAAGGATAAACATCAACCTTATTGGATAAACATTAACCTTATTAGATGAGTTTGAGTGTTTTAAAAGATAATAATCAAGTAGTCCATATATAAAATAACTCCTCATCCTTGGAGGATAAGGAAGCAACAACCTAGAGTCCTTTATGGACTCAAAGCCGATCACTCTCCTCGTCCTTTGAGGATAAGAAGACTCTCCATGCATATATAGGAAGAGAGGTGTGGCAAGGAAGAGGTTATTGACCTAATAGAGTATTTTGGCCAACAAAAAGAAAAGGAGAGAATTTCGACCAAAAGAAAAAGATGAAGGAGAAATTTCAGCCAACTTTCGTAAATAAGTTAGGGCACATGGCCAAGAGAGAAAATAAAAGAGAAAATAGTTTTCTCCTAAATCCTAGCAAGAAATAATCTTTCCTTCTTGTTTAAGGTTGTCACAAAGTTGCTTGGGATTGATTTTTAGCAAAAATATTTAATCGGAAAAATTAGAGCTAGCACCCCATTAATTTTGAGTGCTTCTTAGTGGATACTTGGACTACGTTGATCATTAATAGAGGCTAGACACTTGGGTGACTCTTTTTAGATATGCGCTACAAGAGGTAATCCTTTACTTTAGCTTATTATTCATGTACATATGATTAGTAGATTCAACGACATGATCTTAGGGCCTTAGATGGTGGAAAATTTTTTATTTATTCGTACCTCCATAGGATACATGATCCTTCAATTAGTAATGGAGCCTCCATTGAATCTTTGATTGTATGATTGGTTAATTGTGATTAACTACATAAATAAGATATGTTCGATTCTAAATCTTATGTTTTTGGTATTTTATATAAATATGAAACATAAGCTTTGGGTCAAAATCGGTAGGAGCACGGGAGGTAGACGTTGAATGTCAATGTTGTGCACGTGGCGGCCATATCGCTAGTAGTGCACTCGGGCATGCACCGAGTCACTAGGCGTATGACAACCGGCCTGCCGGCTCGTCGGTTCGCGTTTCTACCGGGCACACACGGGGCACGTGCCAAGCGAGCTACGGCCTACTAGGTTGCACGTTAGGCATGCATTGAGGCCGGGCTTGCCGGGGCGCCCTAGGTGGTAAATGCTAAGCGTGCACTAGACGGTAGAGGCTAGGCCTTCCAAGCGCATGCCGGGCTACAAGCTAAGTGCACAACGGAGACTAGGCCCGCCAAGCATGAGCTAGATAGGTTATCGGCTGCCGCGCCCACGCGTTAGGCAAGCTGCAGGTGGTCTACCAATCTACGTGCCAAGCGCTTCGACAACGTACCAAACCATTGGCCAATCGCTTTCGAGCTAGGCCGGTGGCCATGGGTAGATGCATATAAATCGAAAGGTCCGGGCTTCAAAACTCATGAACCCTCGAGGCCTAAAAGCCTTTAGGCCCAAAGTGGGCCTAATGCCCCGAAAGGTTTTAAAATTAAAATTTAGAAAAATTTTGATAAAATTATAGATTTATAATCATTTTATGAATGAAATTGTTTTATGAGTATGCCATGTATCAATGTGGTTGAAGAATGAGTGAATGGTATGGATGAGTGGACTTAGTTTTACAAATGCTTGGTATTTTATGGATAAATAGGACTTGAGTGTCTTGCCATGTCTATTATTCTATTGTATTTCTTTTCTCATCTTACTCCCCTCAAATGTAACTCGAGGTTTTTTATTTTGAGTAAATATAAAAGTAGAAAATAGAAAATAGAATAGATTCAAGGAGGAGACGACAAGGAATGAAGACATTCATGAAGAATTTGTAATAATTTTTCACCTAGGAATTGACCCACTAGTCTCCTTGTGGCTCGAAGGGGCTAATGCTAGAAATCCATTATCATTCACCAGCCCTTGAGTCATACATGCGATGTATGAATGTGATGAGATTAATGTTAGTATGCATGATTAGAAAAAATATGATTATTGTTTACTATGCATGTTAGGATGAGAGCAACCTTATTAAATCTTTCAAACAAAATATTAAGTTAAATGTTTTCTAATGTTATGAGGTGGACCTCTCTTGGTCATTGTTGGCTTATTGAGATAACTCAAGGTCACTTCTTCCTCGAGGAAAACAAATCATGGGCCATACGATGAGCTCGAACGTTGGGTCTAGCATTAATGAGTTGTTGGGTTTGTTGAGATAACTCAAGGTCCAATAAACTTATAAGCAAGGATTAGTATTCACATAAGATGTGACAAGGACAAGGAGTTGTCATACTAATGGAATTAGGAATTACATTAGATGTAATTGGTAAGGATTTACCTACCTAAACCTTCATGCATGGCTTGTTGAGATAACTCAAGGCTAATGCATGTTAGAGGGTGGGATCCTAACCCACTAAGAAAACGAATCGAAAAGTTTTCTTAAGTACTATATTGAAGGTTATAGAACTTAAAGAAAATAGTGGGAGCGAATATAGATTTTACTTCTTTAATTTATCCTTTGTTCTATGTAATTTAATTAATCAAACCGTATGCTTTTCTATATTGTTAAGGTTGTTGCACAATATGACTGGCAATACATGGATGAGATCAATGACTAATGGAAGGAATGCCTTAATGACATAAACTTTCTTGATTGAAAAATGAAAGAGAGGAATTTCCTCCAACATGAAAAAATGCTCTATGCGATAGACGATAAGGAGCACCAAGAAGGGGAACAAGAGAAGAGTTCTTGATGCACCTCAAGTATTCATGTTATTGAAGTAATTTTTTCTACTTTTAGTCCAACATCTTGGGTATTTGATACTAGATGTGGTGGACATATTTGCACAAAATTAAGAGGACTAAAAGAGGCTAGAAAAACTACTTTTGGTGAGGTTACTTATGCGTTAGTAATGGTTCAAGAGTTTTATTATTAGCAGTAGGCACCTACGAGTTAGCACTACCTTCTAGACTTGTGCTTATACTTAGAAACTATTATTATATTCTAAGTATAACTAAGAATATCATTTCCATTTCTTAGTTAGACCAAGAAGGTTTTTTGTTTTTATTTAAGAACAAAAGTTGTTCCTTTTATAAAGATGATGTTTTATATGGAAGTGCTTGATGTGAATAACGGTTTATATGTATTAAACATAGACACACCAATGTATAACATAAATATGAAAAGACTCAAAACTAATGATCTAAACAAAAAGAATCCGTGGCATTGTCGACTTGGCCATATAAACAAAAATTGCATATCCAAGCTCCATAAGAATGGATATTAAAATCACTTGATAATGAATCTTATGATGTCTACGATTCTTGTTTGCTTTGCAAAATGAAAAAATCCCCTTTTAGTGGAAAAGGAGAAAAAGCTACTGATTTATTAGGCCTAATACATAGTGATGTATGTGGGCCCATGTCCACCCAAGCTAGAGGAGGATCCGATTATTTCATGACCTTCACCAATGACGAGATCGCATTTTGGTTATGTGTATCTCATGCGACACAAATTTGAAGCCTTTGAAAAGTTCAAGGAATTTAGGTTTAAAGTTCGAAACAAACTAGCAAAAGTATTAAAGCACTTCGATCGGATTGAGGAGAGTACTTAAGCACTGAATTTTTAGATCATTTAAAAGATAATGGAATTCTCTCACGATGGACCCCACCTAGAATAGCATAAATCAATGTTGTGTCCGTAAGGAGAAATAGGGCACTATTAGAGATGGTTCGATCCATGATGAGAAACTAATATCCCAATATCATTTTAGGGATATATGCTCCTTACCATGACATTTATTTTGAACCGAGTTCTAACAAATTCCGTTGATCGGACTCCATATGGGATATGAAAAGGAAAGAAAGCAAATTTATCTTTCCTTAAGATTTGAGGCTATAAAGCATATGTCAAACGTTAAAACGGAGAGAAGCTCACGCCTATTGGTATGGTGATACCAAAGCAAGCCCTTAGGTGATTTATGTTACGGAACATATCACTTGGACTTGAGTCACCATGCGAACCCATTTGATTTTAGTCTATGGAAATCTCATACGAGATGGGTATAAATGGTCCTTAGACTTAAAGTCATCATGGTTTTCTTATTGGAGGACTTATGCACTTTGACACTCGCTTCGATGGACCCATTAAGAGGTTGTACATGGGTGATTTATTGGGTGCACTAGGAATCTAATGGAGATAGCTATCTAACTAAGATAAGACATGTCATTCCTTATATACTAAAGGAGTTATCACATTGCACTTCGATAAATGTCTACTCAAGAAATCTATGGCAATAGTCGGAGTATACCAATAGAGCATAGTTGGTCTACTCTAAGAGCTAAGACATTTAAGAATCGAAGTAAACTTGTGTGATCATAATCGAACAAGACTAATAACTAAGTTTGAGATCACACTATGATAAGTTGACATGAAGACTGAATTGTATGGTAAACGTGCTCGTGAAAGGTAATAATAGATTAACTAATCCTCTTAGAGAATTGGATAGTCGGGATGCCTTGCTATAAGCCAATCTTGATTTATGAAGTCTTTTATTCTTGATACATTGCCAACTTATCTAGGAGCCTATTGAGTCACATGCATAAGCTTAAGTATTCACATTACAAATGAGAGGCAATGATATTGGAAAAAGTTTCCGATTACAAAAAGTTTCCTATTTTGGAAAAAGTTTCCAAAATGGAAAGTTTCCTAAAATGGAAAGTTTCCTATTTTAGAAATTAGTTTTCTAATTTGGAAGTTAGTCTTAAATATGGAAATAAAGAACCTAGAAGGAAAAGAGTTTCCTAATCTAGGTTAAAGGGTATTATTAAAAATTATTTCCTAATGTGGACCTCGCTAAAATAATCTAAGAATATTTATTTGGATAGTCCAAATAAACTAATTAGGATAAAATTGTTTTGGTCCATTAGATTTAATTAAAAAGCTTAAAGATAATTTTGGTGGGAGGATAAACATCAACCTTATTGGATAAGGATGAATATTTTAAAGATAAACATTAACCTTATTAGATAAGGTTGAATGTTTTAAAAGATAATAATCAAGTAGTCCACATATAAAATAACTCCTCATCCTTAGAGGATAAAGAAGTAATAACCTAGAGTCCTTTATGGACTCAAAGTCATCACTTTCCTTGTCCTTGGAGGATAAGAAAACTCTCCCCCTATATATAGGAAGAGAGGTGTGGCAAGGAAGAGGTTAGTGACGTAATAGAGTATTTCAACCAACGGAAAGAAAAGGGGAGAATTTCAGCCAAAAGAAAAAGGAGGAGAAATTTTGATGAGCCCTCGAAAATAAGTTAGGGCATACGGCTAAGAGAGAAAATAAAGGAGAAAATAGTTTTCTCCTAAACCCTAGAAAGAAATAATCTTTCCTCCTTGTTTAAGGTTGTCGTAAAGTTGCCTAAGATTGATTTCTAGAGAAAATATTAATCGAAAAAGTGGAGCTAGCACCCCATTAATTGTGAGTGCTTCTTAGTGGATACTTGGGCTGCGTGGATCATTAATAGAGGCTAGACACTTAGATGGCTAATAAAAAAAGGAATTTACATATATGCTACAAAAGTTTATCCTTTACTTTAGCTTATTATTCATGTATGTATGATTAGTAGATTCAACGGCATGATCTTGGGGCCTTAGATGGAGGAAAAAATTTTATTTATTCTTTACCTTTATAGGATGCATGATCCTTCATATATATCTCCCCCTCTCTCCCTCTCTCTCCCTCGTCTTTGACTTCATCTCTTTCTCTCCCTCTCCTTCTCTCTCTTAACCACTTTCAATCTCTTTCTCACCCCCATTATTTCTCTCCCTCTCTCCCTTGCTTTATTTCTCTTCCTCTCTCACTTTCTCTCTCTTTCTCGCTCTTGCTCTCTCCTCCTCTCTCTCACCTCTCACCCTCTCTCTCTCTTTCCCCTCACTTTCCTCCTTTCTCTCTCTCTATCTCTCTCTATCTCTATCCATTTCCATCCCTCACTCTTTCTCCCTCTCGTTGCCTCTCTAACTCTCTCTACCTCACTCCCTCTCTCTTTATCTCTATCTCTTTCTCTTTCTATCTTTGTCTTTCCCTCTCTATCCCTCTCTATTT